TTTCTTTCTTTCTTTTTTGAGATGGAGTCTTGCCCTGTTGCCCAGGCTGGAGTGCAGTAGCCTGATCTCAGCACACTGCAACATCCGCCTCCCAGGTTTAAGAGACTTTCCTGCGTCAGCCTCCTAAAGTGCTGGGATACAGGCGTGAGTCACTGCGTCCAGCCCTTTTCATATATAACTTTTAAGAAGCACATGTTATTTTATTTGTATGTTATTTACACTTGTTTCACTGTTCATTCTAAATACAAAGCAGATCTTGAGTCATATAGAAACCTAAACCTTGAGACCAGCCTGGCCAACATGGCAAAACCCTGTCTCTACTAAAAATACAAAAATTAGCCAGTCATGGTGGTCTATGCCTGCAATCCAAGCTACTCGGGAGGCTGAGGCATGAAAATGGCTTGAACCGGTGGGATGGAGATTGTAGTGAGCTATCACACCATTGCACTCCAGTGTGTGGCAACAGAGCAAGACTCTGTTTCAAAAAAATAAAACTAAGCCATCATTAATAGTAATATTCATGTCATCATTCATAAAGTTCATCTTCATAAGGGCTTTCTTTTGCATTCTGATTTCATGATTTTCATAATTATAACTAAACTGTGATTTGTTATTACTCACAGTCACAAGTTGAGCTTGTATCTACAACTTGTTTAGACATTTTTTAAAAAAGAGGCCCCAGAACGCTGCTCTGTACCTTCCACCAACTGAGGGCACAGTGAAAATGTGCCATCTATGAGCTGAGAGCAAGTCCTCACCAGACATGGATTTGCCAGTGCCTGTACTGTGACTTTCCAGAATTTCCAGAATCCAGAATTTTCAGAAATAAATTTTGTTTTGTAAACCACTCAGCTTATGATATTTTGATATGACAGCCTGAATGGATTAAGACAGTAGGCTATTTTTAATTTTCAAGCATCAGGATTCTTCTTCTTTTTTTTTTTTTGAATGGAGTCTCACTCTGTCACTCAGGCTGGAACACAATGGTGTGATCTCGGCTCACTGCAGCCTCTGCCTCCCAGGTTCAAGTGATTCTCCTGCTTCAGCCTCCCAAGTAGCTGGCAACACAGGTGTGCACCACCACACCTGACTAATTTTGTACTTTTAGTAGACACAGGGTTTCACCATGTTGGCCAGGCTGGTCTCAACCTCCTGACCTCAGGTGATCCGCCCACCTTGGCCTCCCAAAGTGTTGGGGTTACAGGTGCGAGTCACCACACCCGGCCTAACATCAGGATTATTCTTATCCAAAAAGTCCAATGCTGAGAATTTATCGTAAGTAATCCAAAAATAGAAAGTATTTACGTAAATGTATATAAACTACAACAGTATTTAGAATGAAAAACTTATAATGTAAATATCCAATAATATTGAAATAGTTATGAATAATAAAGCTGTAGAGTGAAATATTGGATATTAAAAAAGAGGTTTATAGAAGTTGCTAATTTTAAAATGTTAAAATATGTTAGAATAGAAGGAGATTTTTAAACTATTAATATGGAAACATTTCTGGTGTATAATACTAATAATATCAAGATAAAATTTTATTTTTTCTACTTAAGGAGATAATTCACAAAATATTAGCCACAATTAACTCTTAATTAGTGGAGTTAGGAATACTTTATATTTTCTTCTCTGGGGCTGCCATTATTCTTTTATTTTTACCATGCTATACTTCTCCTTGTTAACCTGTAAAACTATTCTAGATTAAGGTAGAGCTATATATTTAAAAATACAATGTTTTTGTTATTAAAATACTCATTTTTAATTACATTGCCAATATCCCAATCTCTACTCATACTTTTAATATTCCTTAATTGAAAGAATTTTAAAAAATTAAACAAGAATCTTATTTCATAAGTTTACTTTTTCCAGTGCAAAAGATTAATATAGTTTTACTTTAGTACCAAAGAAAAAGGAAAAAGAACAACAAAGAATGTTTTAAGATGGAAAGTATGGAAGAAAAAGACATCTAAATTGCCAAATTTTTAACTTTGTAACTTAATAAAAACAATGCAAACTCTTGTGTCCAAATAATCTCTGTTGTAAACTGTTATCACATCAATCAAGGTTATGCCTCCTCAGCTCACTGCATCCTTTCAGTTCAGTCTGAATTTCTGATTGGAGATGGTTAGTAAAATTATGACATTTACCTGTCAAATGATGGCTTCTCCCCACAGTCAAAGGCATCTTGGAGCTCCTTAACAAGATTAGCCTGGCCTGGCAGTCGGAAGAGACCCTCTTCTTTCAACCCCCTTTGTCTGATAAAGTCCACGCATTGCTCCACCAACATTGGAGCCAGACGGTTCCCATATCTCTTCTCATAACGAACAGTATCCTCCAGTTTCTGTCCAAAAATGCCTAAAAAAATAAAGGATCACAGTGAACGTGAGAAATTCATCTCTTCCCACTTTGTTGTTCTTGTGTTTTAATTCCATGTAACAGAAAAACAAAGATTGGAATGCTAGCAGGCACTTAACGTTCAGTATTTCACATTATTATACAATCAAATTCATTACACACAGTTCCTTAAATGGCATGAATTTACCTTATGCTGTTCCTTTCTTGCATTTTATGTTTAGCCCAAAACCGAAATAGAAATACTGAGTTTGAGATATCCATTTTGAAATAAGAAACACTAATAAATGTAACTTGAGTTTGAGGCTTTCCATTTTCTTTTTCTTCTAGGAAAGGAATTGATTTCAGTAGCTTAAAAGGAGAAATATGCTTCAGAAAATAGTCAAATTCTACCTTTATTACAGTTTTACATTTATGTCCAATTTCTATTTAAGTTCTGTCTTTTTCTTTTCTCCCCTTTTGTTTTCACTCAAGTTGTGATGCCATGACTGTAATCAAGGTGATAAAACCAGAAAAAGAAACCCTGAATTTTCTCCCATATGAAGTATTTTAGACAGTATTTGCTCTTTAAAATATTAAACTATTAACTTATTTGAAAGTGAACAATTGAAATTTACAAAGCAGTGCATACTAAAAGTGGAGAGGTAGGGTCTTGCCCTAACAGGAAGCGTATTTTATCACGTACATTTTTTAGAATTGGCAGTACGTGGTGGTAATAAAAAGCCGTCCAACTTTTAGTAAGATTTATTGATAATTTTACAATACCTACAAACCATACATTCCTTGGTGTATACACCTGGGCCAAACACCCCCATTATTTCATCCTAAGTACTCCACTAATTAAGAGATAATACTTTTGAATCATATTAATATTAGGTAGTAGCTTTGTAAAAAATCAACCTATGAGAAAGGGGGGAAAACAGCCAAAGGAAATGTGACTCCAATGTTCCCAGATGGAATGAATACTATGAAATTATTTTAATAGTCTAAGGAGTTTCATAAAAGGGGAAGAAAAGTAAGTGGTGCATGTTGAAATTATGTAAAACTCCAGAATGTTTGGGGAATTATTTAACAACCATTAGGTTAAGGATTTGATTATACCATCAGATGTTTTGCCTCCCCACCTGTAAAATAATTTCTTTATGGATTCAGTAGTGCAAAACCATCACATTTCAAGCAGTAAAGAATTGTTACCAAAGAAAATATTCTTAGCTCAGGTAGAAACAGTAACAGCAAACACAACATTCTCACCTGGTATCAAATCTAGCACTAATGAAATACATTATCCCATTTAGGAAATAATATTGAGTAACCTAATATCAATATTCAAGTGCATATAAAGCAGAATTAGAAAATAGCATTTTCTAAGGGCAGTAAAGATTAGAGCAGATAATGAGTCTAGTTAGCTTCATTTGTAGACCTATTTAGAATAAGCAGTTTCTCGATAATGGTGTATCAGGCCTCATTCACTAACTCCAACAGACATTCACACCCCATATTCCCTTGACATTTCCATTTTAGAAGCTGGAATATTAAATACTTGTTCCATTTCCCTTGCAGTGGGGTGGTCATATGGCATAGTCCTGGTCAATAAGTCTTCTTGGAGCCTTCGGGAAGACTTTCTTTGCTGGATGATAAGGAAAGATATCTGCAGTTGTCACTCCTTTTGCCTGTCTTGAACTTGGGCATGATACTGGCTCTTGTTATAGTCATCTTCTGACCATTAGGCAACAATCACAAGGGAAAGGCTAAAAGATTAACAGACATGCTGAGGCTGAAGTTTTGTCCAGATAGCTTTTAATGTGAGAAGAACAAACTGGTGTGTGTTTAAGCTAGCTTTCTGTTCCTTCAGCAAAACAAAATTCTACTCCATTCAATGGTGCTAATGAATTATGGAGATGTTCTAGTGTTTAATAATAAGGTTTGCAAATTGGTTATGTTGGAGAATATCGACCCTTTCGGTGGAGAACTTTGAAAACAAACGTGATGCTTACTTGCCTCTAGTGATTGAACTCTATCCCGCCAAAATTAAGTAAATAGCCTCTTAAAAGGTACTTATAAATCATTTAAGAAGATAATATGTTGACTTTTAGGAATAAATTTTATGTATCTGTGATTTTATTTTTACTTTTGATTTTTGCTTTGGATTGATAAATCTATTACCTAAGGGTTCTCTTCAAATCCAACAGAAAATCTACTAAGGATGTTCCAATTCAATAACCATGTGTACTACAAACATGAAACAAATTTCCAATATTTGAGTTTATACAGTAATGAAAAACAGTCAAATATTCTTTTCTCAAAGCTTTCAGGATTTTTTTCCTAACAACTCAAGGAGTAATAAAGAAAGGACTGTTTTGCTTTAGATGTGTGTATTTGGTTTCCTTTTTATTTTCTTGTACATGCAGGTTTGCCTTTATGATAAAATAAGAATTTACTTAAAAATTATAGCAAGAAATTTAAATTTATTAAGTATGTGTTATATTCTGAGTCACAATGTTCTCTCATCTTCATAAGAAATATATAAGGTAACTATCATTCTTCTTTTTATACATGAGAAAATTGGGGCTCAGAGAGATGAAGTAATTTGTCTGAGGTTAGTTACAGAGCATCAGCTGGCAGAATGGAAGTCCACATCCAGATTTGTTTAGCTTTAAAATCTTTGCTCATTTCTGAATATCAGTCCTATTCCTTTTTATTTAATCACAATCATGAGTCCTCATTTTCTAGTAATTGAAAATATTAGTACATTCTACAACTGAGTAAAATCATGGACCTTTTTAGTGCTTTACAAAAGTGATCATAGCTAAGCTGTACTTATGTATGCCAGGTATGTTACAAGCAGTTTACCTGCATTTCTCTCATTTAAAACTGATAACACCCTGTAAAGTCGGCACCACCATTCTTTGCATTTTAAGGAGGATGAGCTTGAAGCACAGAAAGGTTGAGTAACTTGCCAAATGTCACACAGCAGTATATGGTGGAGCTAAGGCTTGTTTGAGGTGGTGGGATATCAGAGCCACTCAGTGTCTATTACACAATACTGTGTGGTATACACAATGGATGAAAACAGCTATAGTGGAAGACACCTGCCATTTATTAGCTTTCTGACCTCAATTCCTCCCATCACATTAGGATAAATGATCTGTGCTGAGAAAAAGTAAATTGGGAGGTGGGGGAGGTCAGAAAAAAAAAAAAAGAGAAGGAAAATACTCTGGAGCTTCAGTGAACATGCTGCTCCCCCAAAGCAATTTCCTTCATATAGAGCTGATGCATTTAATATAGCAGTGTAATATGTAAGAAAGCTAAAGCACGTAGACAACATGTACATACGATTCAAAAGTCCTGTGGAAAAAAATGAGTTTTCTGCTGTAGAACCGGTCTTGCAAAGAATAAGTAAAGAATTTTAATATATGTATACTCCCCATTCTGTAGCACTGGAAATAGCATGCCAAATATTTCTGGCTTAAAGTGGTAGATGTGGGTTGCCCTTCTGCATAAGAAAGGTCCTTGGGAGGAAAGTTATTGATGGGAAAACATCATTTAAAGAAACATTTATTACAAAATTTCCTTGAGGGAGCAGTGAAACTTCAAATTTTAAAATTAACACAAAAGCACAAAGGTCATGTGCTACCCCCAACTAGCAGCATGAAGAAAGGACACACTGACTAGTAGTTTATTAACAATATTCCCCGGAATGTGGGTCACGCAAACAGTTCCAGCTATGTCCATTTAAACTCCCAGCAAGGTCTCACACTATATGACAAAAGCGTCCCCAGTATTTTTGGGCAGAGATGAATGTCATGTCTACCTCCCCTCCATGTGAAAGTACATTGGTGGTGTCACAAAGCATCACCCAGGATGTGACTTTTCACTGGACTGAGAAAGTAAATCACATAGGTGGATTTATTACACTGGCAGGTGGCTGTTTCCAGTGGAGCAAGCAAGAAAGAAACTGCCATAGCCTTCAGGGTTTGCGAGGGTCCCCCTTTACATGTGATTTATATAGCCAATAGCTAGAGGCTGCCTGTGAAGCGAGTGGCTGTGATCCTATAAATACATTCATATTTCATTCTTCCTGAAAATGAATAAGCAAACATGAATTTAAACCTTCTTAGATTCTGTGTCCTGTAACTGTGTATCCTCTTTGCTCTTCAATTCCCAGTGAAGTATGTGACTTTGTCTCCTTTTCATCACTTTCCATTCACTTGCTAACTTTTGCAATTTGATAGCTGACCCAGTTATTACAATAAAATGGTCTTTCTACAGTCACCAATAACTTCCTACTTGCCAGATCATTGACAGCCAAATTTATGTTTTGTATTACTTTGTGTCTCACTCTCTATAAAACTATCGGTCTCTTTCTTCTTCCCAAAAATTCCCATGTTACATGACTTTTGCCTCTCAGTGCCCTTCTCAGTCTCTTTCTTGACTATGCGACCTACTATGCTCTTTAATAGTTGTCTGGGTTCTGTCCTCAGTTCTGTTTTTACTTTACCTGATACAGTCATTCTAATAGACTCCATCTAATTTCACTTCATATTAACTATTCTCAGGTTTGTATCTCAGTTTGGACTACTGCTATAATCTCCGGCATTGGATTACTAGGTGGTCAGTAGAACTCTCAATATGGATAGCTCAAACATTTTCAAACTCAAAATTTCTAAAGCTGAATAAGTCATCTCTCTTTTTAAAAAAACCTATTCTTTGTCCTTTAATCCTAATTTTGGTTATCAGTACAAGCTATTCCCCCCAAAAACATTGAAGTGCCATCTGAGAATCAACCTATATTCTTCGTTCCTTCAAGCCACTCACTTAACCACCATGCTGCTCCCTGCCAAGCTTTTTACCGCTGCAGTGATGAGATATTCAGTGTTTCTTCAAGGATTTTTTGAAAAGCAGAGTTCCCAGTCCAGCCAAGTGCTACCATGATGGACTTCATAATAGCTCAATCGGATCATGCCACTCTTAGGCTTCACTTCTTCCAACGGTGCCCACCGGCC